AAAAAAAAAAAAAAGAAAAGAAAGAAAATTAGAAAAACTAGTGGGGTGATGGAAAAACTATAGGCGATGCCTGTATTCTTAACTACTTGGGAGGCTGAGGCAAGGAGATCTCTTGAGTCCAAGAGTTTGATGTTGCTATGAGCTACACAACCATGATACTTTACCCAGGGCAACAGAGTGAGACTCTGTCTCAAAAAAAAAAAAAAAAAAAAAAAAACCAAACAAACAAAAAAAAAGAAACAAGGGTATGGTGGCTCCTGCCTATAATCCTAGCATGCTGAGAGGCCAACGTAGGTGGACAGCCCAAATTCAGGAGTTTAAGACCAGCCTGAGCAAAAGCGAAACCCCTTATGTACTAAACCCCAAAAAACTAGCAGGGCATTGTGGCAGGTGCCTGTAGTCACAGCTACATGGAAAGCTAAGGGGATCATTTGAGCCCAAGAATTTGACATTGCTGTAAGCTAGGATGCCACAGCACTCTACCAAGGGCACAGAATGAGATACTCTGTCTCAAACAACAACAACAACAACAACAACAACAACAAAACATTTACTGTAGAAACGGCTAATTGCAGGTCTGGGGCAGAAAATGTCAAAACTGAGCCTTGACATATTTTTATATGCTAGAAAGAGTATTCTAGCTAATAAATAATTAAGAAATAATAGAAGTAGCATGTCCTCACTTTGCAACTCCCAACGAAATAAACCATCTATACAATGATCATAAAAAGCTACTAGAAAACAAAAAAACATGCAGATATTATGTGCCTCCCAAAAAGAAATACTATAACCTTTAAATTCTAAAGTCTACTCTAAAGCATTCCTGCCACCAAAAAAGTCAAACCTGAAGCTGATCAAGCCTCTAGATTAGATCTGTCCAACAGAACTTTCTGTGGTAATGGAAATACTCTTTATCTGTACTATCCAATCCACAGCTGTCCACTTTGTGGCTACTGAGCTCTTGCAATGTGGCTAGAGTTACTGAGAGATCTAGTTTTAATTAAATAGTCATGTGTGGTTACTGTTGCACAACACAACTCTAAGTCTAGTAACTTATAGCAAATACAGGTAAATAAAACATATTAATAACACTATGAGTATGCAACTGGCAAAATCCAGAGAATAGGCAACTATACAGAAAACATGAGCTGGCATCTTCAGTAAGTAATCTGGCTAGGAAAAAAACAGAACAAGCTAATAGATTAAAGAAGACTTAAGAGGGAGATCAATCAATTGCATTGTGTTAATTTTATTTGGATTCTGACTCAAACTGCAAACGACTTACGAATTTTATGAGAGAACCGAAAATTTGAACACTTACTAGATGTGGTGATACTAAGAGATAAATTGGGGTGCCAGCCACATACACCCAGGCTGGTGGGCTCAAACCTGGCCCAGGCCAACTAAATAACAATGACAACTGCAACAAAAAAATAGTGGGTATGTGGCAGGCGCCTGTAGCTACTTGTGAGGCTGAGGCAAGAGAATCACTTAAGCCCAAGAGTCTGAGGTTGCTGTGAGCTGTGACACCACAGCACTCTACTGAAGGTAACATGGTAAGACTCTGTCTCAAAAAAAAGAAAAGAAACTGAATTGGGGGAAGAGTTGCAATAGGAATAAATTTCACACACAAAATGTTAAGTGGAAAGAAGGTAAACACAAATTGAGTATATACTACAACAGACCAAACCAAACTTCCATGTTTTCCCGAAAAATAGACCTACCCAAAAAATAAGCCCTAGTAGGATTTTTATGCATTTGTTAAATATAAGCCCTACTCCAATAATAAGACCTAGTGATGGGCGTGGCTATGCAGCATATATGTCTCTACAAAAATAATAATAATAATAAAATGGGCCTGGGCTGGTAGGTCATGCCTTTAATCCTAGCACTCTGGGAAGCCAAGGCAGAAGGATCAATTGAGGTAAGGCATTCTAGACCAGTCTGAGCAAGAGCAATACCTCATCTCTAATGAAAAGAAAAGAATTAGCCTAGCATGGTGGTGCTTCCTCAGGAGGCTAAAGCAAGAGGATTGCTTGAACCCAGGAGTTTGAGGGAGAGCTATGATTACTCCACTGCATTCTCGACCAGGCAAAAGAGTAACACTCTAATTCAAAAAAAAAAAAAAAAATTAAATGGAAAATTTCAGAAACAATTCATAAGTTTCTTTTTGTAGAGACAGAGTCTAATTTTATCACAATCGGTAGAGTGCCGTGCCGTCACACAGCTCACAGCAACCTCCAAATCCTGGCATAGGTGATTCTCTTGCCTCAGCCTCCCGAGTAGCTAGGACTATAGGCGCCCACCACAATGCCCAGCTATTTTTTTGTTGCAGTTTGGCTGGGGCTGGGTTCGAACCCCCCACCCTCAGGTGCAACGCTCATTTAATATTTTTGAACTGTGGCTGACCTCAGGTTACTGAAACTCCAGGAAGCAGAACTTCAGATAAGAGAGACTACTGCATTTTCATTGGAAGACATATATCTATTCTAATCCCCTAGGAAAAAATGAGAAATTAACAATCAACTCACCTGTAACATGGTCATTGTCTGTTGTCTGTGTGAGCTGAATTAGCAAGGCTGAGATATGTTCTATTCTGTGTCTTTTCTGCCTCTGCTCCAAAGCCCTGGAGTGAGGTCCTGGCAAGGTCTTCTACATGAAAATGAGCTCTTGATTCAGGAACCCCTTTGTCTCATGTGAGCAGGCTTATTAGTGGGGAACCAGGATCTGTAGACTTAGGGACAAATGCACTTCAACTGATATATATTCACAGTATGCCTGAAATGTTTTCCTCTCTTTCTAGGAACTTGGAATTCATGATCATCTAATATCAGAGTATGTTTATTATATAACTGAAATAGGGCTCTTAGAGAAAAAGATAGGATATAATAAAAACAGAACAGTAGAGGCTGGGTTCAGTGGCTCATGCCTGTAATCCTAGCACTCTGGAAGGCTGAGGCAGGTGGACTGCTTGGGCTCAGAAGTTCGAGAGCAGCCTGGGCAAGAGTGAGACCACATCTCTACTAAAAGTAGAAAAACTGTCTAGGTGCAAGCCTGTAGTCCCAGTTACTCGGAGGCTGAGGGAAGAAGATTGCTTGAGCCCAGAAGTTTGAGGTTGCTGTGAGCTGTAAAGCCATGGCACTCGACCCAGGGTGATAGAGAAAGAAAAAATGACAACAAAAAAGGGAAAACAGCAAAAGCCTATGTCTCTGCAAACAGATAAAAAAATATCAGAAATAAAATAATTCCGAGAGTTGGCTCAGTACCTCTGGCTGAAGAGGCTAAGGCACCAGCCACATACACCTAAGCTGGTGGGTTCAAATCCAGCCTGGGCCTGCCAAAACAACAATGATGGCTGCAATCAAAAAATAGCCAGGTATTGTGGCAAGTGCCTATAGTCCCAGCTACTAGGGAGGCGGAGGCAGCAGATTCGTTTGAGCCCAGGAGTTGGAGGTTGCTGTGAGCTGTAATGCCACAGCACTCTACCCAGGGCAACAGCTTGAGGCTCTATCTCAAAAAAAAAAAATACTGAGAGTTATTCAATATTCACTGTGGACACTAAAATAGAAATCACATTAACAGGTCCTATGAAGAAAAAGACAACTCTACTTTAGGTAGACAGAATTCTTCAAAGCTTAAGCAATATGTATTGAAACAAATTTAAGTTTCAATTTTATTTCCTTTATGAATATATGACTTTCAGAAAAACAAATTTCATCTTTCTGAGGTTTATTTTCCCATTAAAACTTCTATATCCTTTGTAATTTTTGTCCACCAATTCTATCAATTTCTGAAGACAATATGTTAAAATCTCCCAATATGACCACAGATCACTCAATTTTCCCTTATAATTCTATAGATGTTTAGATTATATGCTTAAAGCCATATTGTTTGATACATATTTCTGGAAGATATTTTTTTAATCATTATGTAATAACACTCTATATCTCAAATGCTTTTTATTTTTATTTTGAGACAAGAGTCTAACTGTGTCGCCCTGGGGAGAGTGCCGTGGCAGCATCACTCACAACAACCTCAAATTCTTGGGCTTGAGCAATCAATCTTCTTGCCTCAGTCTCCTGAATAGCTGTCTCCTACAAGCATGTGGCACCACACCCAGCTAGTTTTTCTACTTATAGAACAGACACTGTCTCACTCTTACTCAGGCTGGTCTCAAACTCCTGAGTTTAAGCAATCTACTTGCCTCAACCTCCCAGAGTGTTAGGATTATAGGCTTGAGCCTTCACATCCAGCCTTCAAATGTTTTTTGCCTTAAAAACCTAGTTTACCTTAGATGAAGTTAGCAACATCAGCATTCTTTTGGTTAGTATTTACCTGGCATATCATTTTCCATCCAACCACATTTAAAACTTCAACACCAGCTCGGAGCCTATAGCTCAAGTGGCTAAGGTGCCAGTCACATACACCTAAGGTGGTGGGTTCAAATCCAGACCAGGTCTGCCAAATAACAATGAAGGCTGCAACCAAAAAATAGCCGGGTGTTGTGACAGGTGCCTGTGGTCCCAGCTACTTAGGAAGCGGAGGCAGGAGACTCGCTTGAGCCCAGGAGTTGGAGGTTGCTGTGAGCTGTGATGCTACAGCACTCTACCCAGGGGGACAGCTTGAGGCTCTGTCTCACAAAAAAAAAAAAGCATTAAAAAAAATAAAAATCTTCAGCACCATTGTTTGTTTCTGACAAGCATCTCAGAGCTCAAATTTCTCAGTAATCCCAAACAATAAACTGTACTTTAACTGACAAATTCAATACGTTTATACTTATTGAAGTTTTTATATTTGTCATTGCTTCTTTTCCCCCCTCCTTTCTTGCCTTCAGAGTCTCTATTTGTTCATTGCTAAAATGGTAAAGATAAAGTGGACTTCACACTGCCAGTCTGAGGAACAAAAGAGATAAAATGAAAGTGACTGGTACCTTGTAACAAGAAGAAGAACTAATATTTGAGTGCTTTCTATGTGTAAGACAATAAGCTTTTTACAATTTAATCCTTACAGAAAACCCTAGAAAGCATTTAACATAATCTCCATTTTACAGAAAAAAAAATGAGACTTAATAGTGATTTAGAGTGTCCTCATGACTACAAAAAGCAGAATTAGAATGTTAATCTCTATTCTGTTATGTTCAAGGCATTTACTACAAAATCATGTCATTTGTGTATGTTTATGCATATATACACATGCACAACATAAATCTTGGACTAAGCTCTTATTTATATATATATATGAATTTTTTGTAGAGACAGAGTCTCACTTTATTGCCCTTGGCAGAATCCCATGGCGTCACACAGCTTACAGCAACTCCTGGGCCTAGGTGATTCTCTTGCCTCAGCCTCCCAACTAGCTGGGACTACAAGCACCTACCACAACGCCCAGCTATTTTTTTGTTGCTGTTTGGCCAGAGCCAGGTTTGAACCCGCCACCCTCAGTATGTGGGGCTGGCGCCCTAGTCACTGAGCCACAGGCGCCACCCAAGGACTAAGCTTTTATTTTAATGTACACATTCAGTCACTTATTCTCACAAAAACACAAATGAAGAACAACATGCCTCACTCTATATCACACTAAAAACATATCTTAAACAATCAAGCTATTGGGCGGCGCCTTTGGCTCAGTGAGTAGGGTTACTGAAGGTGGTGGGTTTGAACCCGACACCGGCCAAACTGCAACAACAAAAAAAATATCCAGGTGTTGTGGCAGGCGCCTGTAGTCCCAGCTACTCAGGAAGCTAAGGCAAGAGAATTGTTAAAGCCCAGGAGCTGGAGTTTGCTGTGAGCTGTGATGCCACAGCACTCTACCCAAGGGAGACAGCTTGAGGCTCTGTCTCAAAAATAATAATAATAATCTTTTGGGCTCAGAGTAGTGGCTTAAGCCTGTAATCCTAGCAAATCAAAACATTTTTGAAAGAAGTTACCCCTAAATTAACTCTTATATTCAGTTCTCACAAACTCCCTTAGCAAATATGCCCTTCCTTGAACAATTTGGCCAATTATATTATGATTTCATTGTTTGTTTTGGTTTTTTACCTTAGCAGTTTCTTGCATAATAATATTGCAGCTCTCCCTATGACAGCTCTCACATTTATCTTGAGAAGAAGGGACAACGTTCATCATCACCCTGTAGTTGCACTCATTATCAAGTTCTAAGGGAATTTAGGGAAAAGTAGAGAAAAATTAAAAACGATTATGTACCAAATGATTATATACCATATTGTCTTTTTAACATACCAAAACCCAGACCAGAAAAAGTGAAGGCATGAGGAAGTTCAGCAACTTTTCCAACATTTATGACAAAGTCAGGAAGTAGCAGATCTGGGCCATCAGACTCATCCAGTCCACCTCAGAGCTTGTGACTACATTACCTCTACAGTACCAGAGGGTAAACCAAGCAAAGGCCTCCATTATCCCTGTCTATATTCTCACTACAGGTGCAACACAATCCCCTAAACCAATGGATGTAACCAAAATAGACCAAGAATAAACACAAGAGAAAGAGAAAAGTTATCACGGGCCAGCTGCAAAAATGCCAGATAAATTTAAATTCCCCACTTGGGACAAAATACGTCAAGTTAAAGAGAGATGTTAATAATACTTTGTAATGGCTCAGAGAAGTATATGCAGCATATACTCAATTTTTTAAAGAAACTATAAAAAGGTAAGGTACATTGGAAACATAATATAGAGGCCAAGTGTGGTGGCTCACACCTATAATTCTAGCACTCTCAGAGGCTGAGGTGGGTGGGTTGCTTGAGTTCAGGAGTTCTAGACCAGCCTGAGCAAGAGGGAGACCTTGTCTCTACTGAAAATAGAAAAACTAGCCAGGGGGTTGTGGCTGGTATCTGTAGTCTCAGCTACTCAGGAGGCTGACGCAAGAGGATTGCTCAGCCTAAGAGTTTGAGGGTGCTGTCAGCTATGATGAAGCTACGACACTGTACCAGGGTGACAGAATAAGACTCTGTCACCCAGGAAAGGGTAAGGGAAAGAAAGGAAAGGTACATTTCTTAATTGAATAAATGTACCAAAATGTTGGCAGTGGCAGTGGTCATGGATCATGATATTTAAGTTATTTATCAAGATGCTCAGAATTGAATACATATTTTAAATTTATAATAGAAAAAAATATAGTACATTTTTTAACAATGTTTAAGTCCCTAATCCAAGAAAACAGATTAAGGGGAGCAGTTTCAATCCAGTACTGCATGGTTAAAACAAAGTAAATAAGTAAAATAAAACCAAGTATGTTTTAATGATCTCAAAGAGCATTGGAGGTAAAGAGCAAAGAAAATAATTTCTTTTCACTCACTCATTTTCAGACAAAGAACATGAAATCCAGAAACTGTAAGTGGACTCTCCAAACTAAGTGGCAGAGCTGATATGAAAATCAGAGATGACTTCAGGTCAATGTTCCCCATGTCAAAAGTTTTGCTTTTTCAGTGGAAAAGCCCTTTAAAAAAACTCTTGGGCGGCGCCTGTGGTTCAAAGGAGGAGGGCGCCGGCCCCCAGCCCCAGCCCCAAACCGCAAAAATGAATAAATAAATAAATAAATAAGTTATTGTTTAAAAAAAAAAAAAAAGCTCTCTTGATAAAAGTACAGCAGAGGTGGGGGGAGGAGGAATAACTGAGTCCCAGCAATCAAGTGGTCCCTACCACTGGACTCCACCGGGTCTACAGGCTCTTCCCCAGTAAGATCTGCTCAGCCGTGGGTCCCTATCTGCCCTGCCCTAAAGTCACCGCCAAAGACGTCCTGGCTACCTGTGTCTCACGCAGAAAGTATTACCTTTAAAATAATCTAGGAGCAACCGTCCAAGAACCCAAAGAACCCAGGAGACAAAGAGGCGGTGAGGCCTCAGCAAGGAGGGCATTCCTCAGCAGCAACACGCCCTCCCGCTAGCTCACATCCCAATCTCATTCCTCCTTCCTTCAATCCCTCCACGGACCTCTCAGAGCCCCTGTCTCTGACCCAACAGGCCCCGAACACCTCCCGAGACACCGTTACCTGTAGGCTCGCTGAGGCCCCAGGGACAGAAGACCCACAGCTTCCAGGTTTGCCTGACTCCGATGCGTTAGGCCTGGAGTCTCAGCCCAGACCCTACCTCCTCTCCTCACCCCCGCCCCGCCCACAACTAGCTCACCGACCACAGCACCGACACCCCGACCAGGAGTCGCGCTGCGCCCGCCTCGGGGACCCTGCCTTGCACGCGTTAGCCAGCGGCTTCTGGGCTCCCAAGGCCCACCTGCGGGTCCCAACTGGCTGGACCGGACCTGACTCCGGCACTGGCGCGAGCGTGCCAGGGGACCCGCACACAAACCGGTTCCCCTTTCACCTGGCAGCCAAACACAAAGGGCAAAAAAGCCGATCCGAAAGTGAAGCCGTGAGAATGCGCGTGCGCGTGCGCGTGAGGACGCCGCTTCCAGGACTACATTGCCCAGGGTGCTCAGCGGCACGTCGCTGCGTCCTAGCAACACTGGTCGCCTAGAGACGAGCGTGGACCTCTGCCCAAAGTCTAAGAAACATAAAAGGGAAAAAAGTAGGAAACCAAATCCATAAAAAAAAATTAAAAATTAAAAAAAAATTTTTTTGAGACAGCCTCAAGCTGTCGCCCTGGGTAGAGTGCCGTGGCATCACAGCTCACATTAACCTCTAACTCCTAGGCTCAAGCGATTCTCCTGCGTTGGCCTCCCAAGTAGCCGGGACTACAGGCGCATGCCACAACGCCTGGCTATTTTTTGGTAGCAGCAGTCATTGTTTCCGGCGGGCCAGGCTGGATTCGAACCCGCCAGCTCAGGTATATGTGTCTGGCGCCTTAGCCGCTTAAGCCACAGGCGCCGAGCCAAAAAAATTAAAATTTTGTTTTAATAAGCCAATTAAGGAATCCAGAAAGCTTTATTTTTGAAACAGTCCCAATTTATCACTCTGGGTAGAGTGTTGTGGTGTCATCATAGCTCACAGCAATCGCAAACTTCTGGGTGCAAGCATCCTCTTGCCTCAGCCCCTCGAGTAGCTGGGACTACAGGCGCCTCACCACAGCTTTTGACTAATTTTTCTATTTTTAGTAGAGATGTGATATTGCTCTTGCTCAGGCTGGTCTCAAACTGCTGAGTTCAAGCAATCCACCCACCTCAGAGTGCTAGAATTACAGGCGTAAGCCACCTTGCCTGGCTCAGAAAAAATTTAAATACATTCATGGAAAGCAAGTAGAAATTAACCAAAGAGAAAAATGAAGCTTATTCACAACTGGAGAGTTGGGGGGAAAGTCCCAGACAAGACGCTGCACCCAACACTGACACTGAAGATCCTCTCTACACTAGGAAATTCGAGATTTTTTGTGTAATACAAATGATTCACCAGGATTAGATGTGTCGAACTTTACCCAAGACGTGGAAAAACTGAAGACAAATTCAGAGGTTCTTTGTCAAAGACAAAGAAAGCATCATTATTAAGTTTCTTGGCAAATTTCCTCAAACATACAATAGATCACTACATTTATAGTATTTATTATAAATATTTCCAGAGATAGAACTCACGAGAGAAGTACTAGCATGAAAACAGTTTGCAGAATAGAAATTGGCTCCAGGAGCAAGAAAGCGTTCTTAAAATGCTTGTTTTAAAAGCATTTTTATGAAGAAAAAAAAAAGCGTTTTTAGGGTGGCGCCTGTGGCTCAAAAGGGTAGGGTGCTGGTCCCATATGCTGAAGGTGGGGGGTTCAAACCCAGCCCTGGCCAAAAAAAAAAAATATGCGTTTTTAGTATTTCCTAAAAACTAGTGTTTTTTTGTTCCCTCATATTTTAAACGAGTTTTCAGTGTTCACATTGTGACTAGAACTGACTGCTCTAAGTGGCCTTTAATTGGCAGTGCTGTAGCAGCAAGTTTTACCTCAACACTGGTGGCTTAACAACTAAGGTTTCAAAGTAGGCCAAGAATAGAGAGTTCTCAATAAGATCTGCTGACCAAAAACTTTGTAACTTTGTTATACTAATGTATTTATTTTAGTTTCTTTCCCAGATATGTGGGAACTTCCTTGCAGCCCCAAGATGACTACAGAGTGTTCTACCACCTGCCTGTCCAAGGAAGACAAGATAAGCTATACACTGTCACAGATGATGTACAAGGACCTCTCCAAACCTGCACACAAGGTTGAAAGAATGACCAATATTAACACCTATCTCACTATAATACTAAAATCCCCACCCTGGGAAGGAATTATCCACCATTTTCTATTCATAGAAAGTGTGTACTAGCATGATTCCTCACTGTACTTGTGTGCCCTGAACTCCACCCAAAGCACTCAGTGATGTTCACTACCCTCATGAATCTTTCACCTTTCACCTTTCACCTCCAGAAAAAAAACCCTGACCTTGGGGCGGCGCCTGTGGCTCAGAGGAGTAGGGCACTGGCCCCATATGCTGGAGGTGGCAGGTTCAAAACCTAGCCCCGGGCAAAAACTGCAAAAAAAAAAAAAAAAAAAAAAAAACCCTGACCCTGTTGGTCTTTAAAGTGGATTTGAGGCAGACTATACCTCGCACCTCACAGTTGACAAATTCATTGCAATAAATGCTTTCTTGTACAACAATCCTATGGCTCAGTAATTGGCTGTTTGGCAAACAGCAGTCAGCTCCCCTTGTGGTTTGCTAACAATACCAGAAATAACCCCCTGACTATATACACTCATTAATCTTCAACAAGTCAAGTAATTTTGGGGCAACAATACACAATGGGGAAAAGATTTCATGTGCAAAATGAAAATTGTATTGGGTGGCGCCTGTGGATCAAAGAAGTAGGGCGCCAGCACCATATGCCAGAGGTGGTGGGTTCAAACCCAGCCCTGGCCAAAAACTGCAAAAAAAAAAAAAAGAAAGAAAGAAAGAAAGAAAATTGTATTCTTATCTTGCACCACACACAAAAAACCTTGAAACAGATTAAAGACTTAAATGTAACATCTAAAATTGCAAAACACCTAGAAAAAAACACAGGAAATGACATTGGTCTTGGCAATGCTTTTCTTTTTTTTTTTTTTTAATTGACACAAAGTCTCAAGCTGTTGCCCTGGGTAGTGTGCCGTGGTGTCACAGCTCCCGGCAACCTCCAACTC